GACAAGCTTGGGAGACAAGGCGGCAGAGGCAGCCAAGAGCGAAATCATGAAGAGAGACAAGCTTGGGAGACAAGGCGGCAGCGGCAGCCAAAAGCGAAATCATGAAGGGAGACAAGCTTGGGAGACATTGGGAGACAAAGCGGCAGCGGCAGCCAAAAGCGAAGTCATGAAGGAGACAAACTTGGGAGACAAGGCGGCAGCGGCAGCCAAAAGCGAAATCACGAAGGGAGACAAGCTTGGGAGACAAGACGGCAGCGGCAGCCAAGAGCGAAATCATGAAGGGAGACAAGCTTCACAGACAGGGCGGCAGCGGCAGCCAAAAGCGAAATCATGAAGGGAGACAAGCTTCACAGACAAGGCGGCAGCGGCAGCCAAGAGCGAAATCATGAAGGGAGACAAGCTGAACAGACAAGGCGGCAGCGGCAGCCAAAAGCGAAATCATGAAAAGAGACAAGCTTGGGAGACAAGGCGGCAGCGGCAGCCAAAAGCGAAATCATAAAGGGAGACAAGCTTGGGAGACAAGGCGGCAGCGGCAGCCAAAAGCAAAATCATGAAGGGAGACAAGCTTGGGAGACAAGCTGGCAGCGGCAGCCAAGAGCAAAATCATGAAGGGAGAAAAGCTTGAAAACAAGCCGGCAGAGGCAGCCAAGAGCGAAATCATGAAGGGAGACAAGCTTGGGAGACAAGGCGGCAGAGGCAGCCAAGAGCGACACCATGAAGGGAGACAAGCCTCACAGACAAGGCGGCAGCGGCAGCCAAAAGCAAATCATGAAGGGAGACAAGCTTGGGAGACAAGGCGGCAGCGGCAGCCAAGAGCGAAATCATGAAGGGAGACAAGCTTCACAGACAAGGCGGCAGCGGCAGCCAAAAGCGAAACCATGAAGGGAGACAAGCTTGGAAGACAAGCCGGCAGCAGCAGCCAAGAGCGAAATCATGAAGGGAGACAAGCTTCACAGACAAGACGGCAGCGGCAGCCAAGAGCGAAATCATGAAGGAAGACAAGCTTCACAGACAAAGGCGGCAGCGGCAGCCAAGAGCGAAATCATGAAGGGAGACAAGCTTCACAGACAAGGCAGCAGCGGCAGCAAAAGCGAAATCATGAAGGGAGACAAGCTTGGGAGACAAGGCGGCAGCGGCAGCCAAAAGCGAAATCATGAAGGGAGACAAGCTTGGGAGACAAGGCGGCAGCGGCAGCCAAGAGCGAAATCATGAAGGGAGACAAGCTTCACAGACAAGGCGGCAGGGGCAGCCAAAAGCGAAATCATGAAGGGAGACAAGCTTGGGAGACAAGCCGGCAGCGGCAGCGAAATCATGAAGGGAGACAAGCTTCACAGACAAGGCGGCAGCGGCAGCCAAAAGCGAAATCATGAAGGGAGACAAGCTTCACAGACAAGGCGGCAAGGCGGCAGCGGATGGCAGAAGTAAGAGGATGGTAAAGGAAGGAAAAGAACAAAGATCGTCTGTGTGCATTGTCCTTGCTTGAATCTGGTTTCAAGCTTCACCAGTTCTACCCTACCCAGCCTCCAATTTTGCAAAACGATTCAGCAAGGCTGGTTCATACTGCATTGCGCGCTCCCTTGTGACCACAAGTACAGCCTTGAACTGGTCAGCCACTGCGCAGCGTGGATTGCAAAAGCCTTCACGAGCAATTCGGCAGTACCTTTGACTGTTGAGACCAGAAGTGCGGCTGTAGTTGGAGTTGAAGACATCATACAAGGCTGCATAGATGACATCTAAGTTTTGCAGTATGAGGAGTCGCCGTTCTTGGGCCATACTGACAATCGCTGCTTGGATCATAGTTTGAGCGTACATGTCAGTGCTTACCTGATCCTGCTCCAGTGGACTGCCAACCAAGCTGTCGGGATTCCAGTTGGCTACTTGACGGGCCTGTTGCTGAATCCAAGCAATCACAGGTCCCGGGGAATCAGTGATGACCATGATATGGCGGCCGTCTACATCACCGAGCAAACTCTCCAAGCGCTTCGAAACAAGCTGCATGTCTGGGAAGATTTCTTCAAGAACAGGTACACCGCAACGGCCTTGTTCATTCTGGTTCAAGCTGTGCAGCATTTTGTCAAGCGCTCCAGAAGCACTGTTCCCATTCACATTGTTGAGAACCGCCATCTTCAGAGCCCAGTCTGCCGGAACAAACTGGAGCTGCTTGGCCTTGCACAGCTTGACCAGTTGAGCGGCTTCCCTTCCCAGCGCATCAGACACTGCATGCATCAAAGCTCCGTGCTTCACTTCCTCCGAGCCAAAGCCCATTTCAACGTCTGCGGCCAACAACAATCGTGCAGCAAATGAGCACATCCCGTACCAGTCACGAAGGCCATGAAAGTCTCTGGGCTCCTGGCCCTGCAAAATCTCCATAAAAGCTGCCGCCATCAGCTCCAAGCTGGCTTCCAACTGGCCACGGATCTCACTTTCATGGGCCAAATATGCCCGAATGATTGCCAAAGCGGTTTGGCTCAAATCTGAATGCGATGGTGGCGGGCATGCCAGCAACAAACCGCGACTCAACTTGCTCCGGTCCAGCTCCCAGTTGCTGATAGCAATGACCGATACAGCATCTTGAGCCCGTCGTGGTTCCAACCGCGCATGCAGCACCTTGAGAGGATTGTGAGGGCTTTGTTCTGCTAACCCAACCTCGTCCAAGAGGACCAGGGCTAAGGGTGGCGTCCTGCGCTTCAGATTGCGGAGCTTCTTCTGCCGAGCCAATGCCCTCTCGAAAACCTGAAGCAACGAACTGGAAGTTGACTGACGGCTGCCTTGGTATGGCTGGACACTAAAGCTTGCCAAGTGGAGCAGCTGCTCTGCATAGGGATCCGTCAATGCACTGATGAGAAGAGACACCGTCAACGATTTTGAGCAACCAGGTTTGCCCAGGATGAAGATGGGCGTGCGAGTCATTGAGCAAATCAGGGCAGCATAGATGTTTTCTCTCAGTGCTCGTACCTTGGCGATGTTGTCTGCCACGTCAAAGGCGTCCAGCCAGTAGTCCTGCTCAGCCAGGACAATTCTACGCCAAATGCTGATACGCTCCAGCTCATCATTGCAACTTTCTGGGATGTACTTTTGGAACAGGTCACCCAATTTGGAGTGGCGAAGAAGAGTTGCCAACAATTCATCCCGCTTCTCGAGATCAGGAAGTCTCACTTCGTAGGCCAAATGAAGTGCCAGCACTAAGGACTTCAATTCACGCCTGAAAGCATCTGGCATTGATGGCCTGATGGCTTCTCGCTGCTTCAATTCCCAGCGAATGAACGCCCAAAGCTTCAACAAGCGGCTTGGGTCTCGCAACGACACACAAGTCCCAAGCTTCCGGAAGAAGTCGTGTATAACGCATACCAAATCAGCCACATGACCACACATCGGTTTGGCAAGTGGCGGCGGTTGAAGCGGCTTGTCCTCAGGGGTAAGCAGCTGTGGAGCCTGAGATGCCATCTCTTTGACGTAGTGCTTTTCTGTTTCGGAGTCCAGCTGGCCAAAGGAGGACAAGTGTGTGAACAGGCTTTCCGGAAGAGGATGCACTCGATATGCAAGGCCCGCCAATCGATCATCTTGGGAGACTGGGCTTTCAAAGCCCACACAGACCACACCACCTTGGCATGCACGGCGCCAAGGATTGCAGGCAGCGACAAAACGTAGGCCTCTGTGAATGGGCTGGTTGGTGCTAGGATTGATGCGGTCAACAATGATCTGCTTGAAGAGAGGCTGATGTGGACAGGTGTTCAATTCATCCCAGAACTGGACTACCATGTGCTCAGTGCCTCCTTGCTTCTTTTCCTCTGCCTTTTTCCGAGCAAGCTCTTCCCCTTTGTTGAGGGCTTCCAGGATTTCAGCCTCTGTGGTGCCAGCATGCACTTGCTGCTCTTCGAGTTCACCAGCCCCGAGCAGGCGAGCAGTGAGCCGGAGAAGTACCTCAGGTGGAATTCCAACCGGGCCTCTTTATAAGAAATCTAAAGCAAGAGGCATTGCTTCAATTTGAAGAACATATCGTGGGGGTGAACAAAGTCACATACATAATTCGTGCATATAGTGTGTATGAATATGTATGTATATATATATATGTAAATACAGTATCTATATATATATATATACGTGGTACAAATAAGTTAGGACTTTGGTGGTCGGATGAGTTAAGACTTGCCTGGGTCAACTCTTAACTCATGTGTGTAGGGAAGGTGGACATGCCCTACATAGACTCAAGAGATAGGAAACACATAGGGGAACCCTGAACCCTGCCTGGAAGTCCCATCTCACAATTGTCGGAACATGTTTCGGACACAAAATGTTGCTTTTTTCACTGCCCCAGGCTCATGAGCTAGGAGTTATTTATGAAAAATGGTCCAAAAGTACCTTTCCACATGAGATAGGATTCATAGATTTTTGTGTACCCCCGCTAACTCCTAAGTCATGAGTACACATTATATTACTGTAAAAATGCACGCATAATGGCATTGACGTACCAAGTGTACATCCCCCGACTATTTGTACAAAGCGTGCCATTCTGTGGAAGGATTGGCTGCAGCAAATGCAAAAATTGTATTGCCTATTGGACTGGGCCCCTCTAGCCCAAATGATGTGGAATTGCAGGTAGGTAGGAGCATCCCTCCACCCCAAACCCCACTCGATCAGATGGTCATGCTGCAGTCAGGCTGCTGTCTTTCCACAGCCAGCCTCCCCCATGAGTATGCAAGGTAGCTGAGCTCGAAGGCGCTCAGCCACGTCCACAAGCTTGATCATGTTGTCCCGGGTGAGGACAAAGCCATGGAAGACATTATTGAGCTCCTCGGCAAAAGAAACAATCAAGGATTCTTGACTTTCTGCCACCCCTTCATTTTGAGGCTTTGTCACTTAGCAGGAAAAAGAAACGAGAATTGCGCATATGAGATCTCATACAAATCAAGCTTCCTTTGGAGTCAGACCATGGCCAGTCATCATATCAAGCAGCAATGATCGCAATTCTTCTTGACTTGCATTGCTCAAGTCAATTGGTGGCTGTACGATCTTCTCACGCGTCACACTGCGCACGTTGTCCCACAAGCGGCGCAATGCACCGGGCAACTCACCTTTGTTCCCAATGAACCGCAACGAGCCTCCAGTATTGAAGGCCCAAACGCTTGAGGCAACAACATGAGGGTCAAGCACTCGGCAAGCCATGGCCTCCGATAGGGAGGGCGCGGCACCCTTGCTAGCCACAGTGTTTTCTCTCTCACGCTCTTGAGTTTCCGCTGCCGAAGATCGCAAACACATTGCCGCTGCCATGGCAATCATTTCCTTCAGCACCGGCAAGAACGCTCCACGGATGTCAAACTGTCGGGCGTCCTCGAAGGTCTTCTCGAAAAGGAATGCCTGCTGGGCCCAATTTCTGGTCCAATGCGCCAAGAAAGTCAGGTAAGACATGATTGTGCCTTTGGACGGCGCTGTTGGGTCACCATGGGGCGAGGCCTTCTGCAGTGCCAGCTGCGCAGCTGCAACAACCCTACCAGAGAGCCCCTGCAGCAAGTTGGCATGGTCCGCCGCAATCACCAAGCCTGCACTGCACGAAGCATTGCAAAAGTTGTCCGTTTGTGCCACTGGGCTAATTCAAAAAAAGATCTATCAATGGTCCGTCCCCCTGCCTGCGACTTGTATCGAAACCACCTCACTTGCGTCCGTTCAATCATTTGACTGGACACTCCCAGCCGCCCCCTCCTGAACCGCACTGTCCCAAAAATCCAGTCGGGCAGATTGGTGAACCTGCAAAACTACAGAATCTCGCTGGTTCCCAGCGAGCTCCTCCTGAACACCCAAACCAAGAAAAAAGACTGGGTTGTTCCAACGATTCGAGAACTTCATCAAACTTTGCGACTGAAAGGAGCCTCTCTCTGTTGCAGCGCGCTCAGGTTCAAACTTGGATCAAGAAAGCTTCAGGCAAAAAGCATCGATCTTGCTATGGAAAAATAATTGCAATCACACATGCATGAAAGAAAGCACGTGGCATTCAGGTGGGTTTAGGATACTGGCGCCACAATCGCTCCCTCTCTCTCTCTCTCTTACGGGGCTTAGCTTTCAGTCTCTTGCTGTCGCACAGGGACGCTCAATGACGCTCATGTGGCCCTCAAACTCTCCACGGTTCAAAAGAAAGCGAATTCATGCGCTGAACAAGGAAGAACGAGGAAATGTTAAGCTCAACTATTTTGAGGGCAGTTGCCTCGAGACATGGAAACGACACAGTGAAGCCATGTTTTGCGGCCACGCGGAACTCCGACCTCTTTTCTGGGTGAACACCAGAGCCAGAACATCGAAGACTTGAGTCGAACAACTCCATCAACCAGGCGGCCAGAGCGAGAAAGGAAACTGCAAGCCCCGTTAAAACGTTATATTTCAACGGCCTGAATAAATGTGTTCGCCCCACACACAATGGAACCCCTGCCAAATTCCAGCACAACATGCTAGACCGGCTCATTTGACTCATTTATATATGTACGTGCTTTCTATTCTATCGTCTTTTTGATGAAGCGGATTCCATTCCTGCCAGATCCCACAATGCCAAGAAAATGAAGACGCATATTGTTGAGGTTGCGTGCGTCCTCAGACCCTGTAACTAAAGTTGTGATCATTGTCACACTTCTTGCTGCTGATATTGTCAGGGTTTGCTTTTAACTTTTGTCTTCCAAGAGTCCATCATGTCTGGCGTGTGCCTTCTCAGGATACACCGGAGTCATGTCAAAATCTTCAAAAAGTTCCCGCCTTGTCCCTGGGCATCTGCCATGAGCTTGAAAACAACGCCATTCTCATCTTCACATCCAACTAGCCGCTGCCCGGATTCACCAAGAAGCAAAGATGCACCAGCCAAAGCAAAGTCCCGTGCAGTCGACGCAGCCCTTTCTGGATCAAGATCCTCGCCACCAAAGACAAATGGAAGGTTCGCGTCGATCTGCTTCTGGCCAGGAACCATTTCCAGAATAGGCGTTGAGAGCAACATTAGCGGAGCTGAACGCAGGCCTTGCTTGATCTTGATTGAATTGGCAACTTTCACGAAGATTGGCGTCTCACTGGCCACACGCGTCCACTCTGACCTCTCCGGATCAAAGACACTGCGGAAGAGAAGGAGCTCCATCAGCAGTGTGTCAGAATCAACTCCACCACCTTCTTCAAAGCTATGCAACTCCAAATGGACTGACCGTGCACTCCCAGCTTTCCTCAAGGCTCTTGCTGCTTGCCCCCGTGTCTGAGCTCCACCCCAAATGATTGTTGCATGAGAGGCTGGGTCCCACTTGTCACATTTCCGAATAGCATGCGTCTTTCCATCTCCAGCATAGTTGGAACTCACCACTTCATGACATCCTAAGGCTGCTCCAGCCTCTTTCAGGAAAGACTTGATGCTGGAAAGTTTCAGGAGGTTAATGTGCTGCTGCTTGCACAAGTCCTTCTCCAGCGTCTCAATGAGTGTCTTGGAAGCACCAACGGTGACCGTGAAAGCCAAGCGGACCTCGACCCCAACGGCACTCTCAGCTTCTCTGCGCCTGCCAACTGCTGCTTGCATGGCATCCACTCGGCACAAAAGTAGCTCCAATACATCAGCTTGCAAGCAATCCACATGAATGAAGACACCCAAAACCTGGGCTTGGCGGGTAGTGTCCAAAGCCAGGCGGGTAGCATGAGTGACTCTGTGCAAAAACCTCAAGACGTCATCCCTGGTTGTGGTGGAATCGCAAAGCAACAAGTTTTCAGCGCTGGGCCCAATGCCCAGGGGCAAGAGCAAGGACAGCACTGTGATTGTAGCTGTGCTTTGCAAGTCCGAATTGCCTGGCTCATGCGAAACCTCCTCCTGAACCAACAGAACTCGTTTGGGATAGAACTTGGGATTTTGCCTGCGGTCCATTCTGCTTCTTGTGGTCGCATCGTCAGAAGCTCGCTTCTTGGGATAAGTCCGAGCAATCTGATGCAAGGGCGAAAACGATGTCATAGCCTGTGGGGGAATCACCTGATCTGCCAGCACTGCAACGAGCTTTTCAAGGAATTGCTCATGGGCGCCTTCTCCTGGCCAAAGAAACTTGCACCTCTCGAAGGCTTCCTTCAACACTTGGTCTTCCTGGAAGTCACCCTTCGTCGGAAATTGAAGGGACATCAAAGGGGCCACAGCACAAGGCTCATTTTGCAAGACTGCCCGTGCCAGTTTGGTGATGTTTCTGGCAGGTACACAGCTCATGATTGCATGCCTGGCACGTGCTTCGTCTAAGGAAGTACGCCATTGATGCTTTGCATCTTGGGCCCATCTCAATGTTTCCTTCAGGTCTTGCACGGTTGAAGCTGACAAGCCTTCTCCCTGGGGTGGAAATCGAAAGGTCCGTGCGTCTTCCAAATAGGGGTGTCCAATCTGAATAAGTTCTGTGAGCTCTTGCCGCAAGCCAAGGGCCCCCTCGATGCATCCAGTGAAGACTTGAACTTTCTCTTGAGTCAAGGCCGTCGGATTGTCAGCGTCAGCACTGCCTTTCGGCACCGCCAAGCTGGCTTTGTCAGAGCACTCCGTCAACTGTTGCACATCTCGTGTGATCATGGCCTGGTCCTTGTTAAACTCAAAAACTCCAGCCACCTCGAAGAGCATCGCATCATTGCTCAGGGTTAGCTCCAAATGCCCGGAGCTGACCATTCCATGAACTGTATTGCTGACAGCTGTGGCGTCATCAGAATTCTCTTCAAGCTTCTGTTGCAGCACCTGGCCCTGCCGGAGTGCTGACTTCAGGCCCTCAAAGAAATCACCCAGTTTGCTTGCCTGGTTCTGGTGCGCAGCCTGGATCATGTTCAGGAGCAATTGTCCAATTTCCACTTGAGACCTGGCACCCAGCGCCTCGCGCTGGATCTGCTTTGGCCACTCGCCTTCCACCATGGAGCCAAACTTGTTGGAATCTATTGGCGAGTCCATGGCCGCAAGAGCAGCAACACAAAGAGGCATGAAAACCGCTGAAGCTCGCTCAACGTTGTCTAAGGTCTCTTGAGTCAAAGCACCTTCGACAAGCTCTGCCAGCCTCATTGCCAAACGTTCCCCTTTCTGCGCGCTGCTAAGCAACACCTTCATAAAGGAAAGACCAGGAACTTCAGCCATAGTGGTTACGAGCCGCAGCACCAATTCGAATCCGGTCTCTCCAGGACCCAGAAACTCAAGCAGCTTTCGCAGACATTCAGTAGCACAGTTCACCTCATGCAAGCAGCCTGTGGTGAGAGCTGTCTGCTCCTGGTTTGCCTTAGCTGCTTCAAAGGCTTGGTGCATAGCTTTGAGGGCAGCCATGTGGCAGCGCGTCTCCTTGGAGAATCCTTCAAGAATCGTCTTTTTCGGCAAAGTGCCAGCGAAGTTGCTCAGAATCTTGTCGCAAAGCTTCCAGAACTCCACCGTCTTCCTGCCTCTCAATATGGCTTCTAATCGGCCTCCAATTTCATTCAAGTCCCCGAAGGTCCAACAGCTCACAGACTGAATTTCTTCCAGAAGCCTGGACACCGTGCTTGGAGCAACGCCAGACCAATGCCTCTCGATCAAACTCAGTGTCTGTGATGGAAGCCCAGCCTCTTGATCCCATTTTTGGGCGATTCCCTGCAAAAGCTCCTCCAACCCGTGGTACAAAAGGAAGACTGTGTCCAACAAGTTGAAATCACTTCCACGTCTGTTTGCACTGCTCATTGCTTGCTCAACCTCTTGAAGCATAGACTGCAATGGCCGGTTCTTCTCCGAACGAGCCAAATGAAGAGTCTTGATGGCAGTCAGGACCAAGCAAAAACTAGGCTGTGGCAAATCGTTGGACCATTGGAGTTCGGAAGGCAATTCTGCAGGTAGTTTCCATGTATTCTCGTTCACTTTGCCCAATGGTACATCAAGTTGGCCGACACGCGGCACCAATTCACATTGTGTGGCAGTGGCAGCTTCCACAAAGGATTTTCGAAGCACCTCTGCCAAATCTTTGGCTTTGGCATGCCCAGGAAAGACTACCGACAAATGGTGTGTGCCAACTTCAAACTCCTGCATGAACCGGACTTTCTCGATCATGCCCTGCAGCTTGGTTTTGACCTGTGCTGGCGACCTGTCACATTCAAGCAATTCTACAAAAAGTGTGTTTTCCCACGCGTTCAACGTAGCTGCTCTCAGCATGTCTTGTACTGTCAACTCTTCAGACATGATCTTCCGGACCAAGGATTGCACGGACTGATGCAGGGGGAGCATGATGCCAGGTGTCAATGATTGAGCACGTTGTTGTGCAATTCGACAGGCTCTTTGCCAAAATTTCGGATGTTGCAGCAGCACCTTCAAAGCCACAACTCCCATTGAATCGTCCACTTGTTCTACACCCCAGGCCCGCTGAAGGCGATCAATTTCTGGGCAAGCACCTGCAGCCATGTCTTGGCCAAGCAAAGTGTGGTCAGAAGAGCATCGCAATGCAAAGCGTAGAATCACTTCCACGCACCAGCTGTGTTCATGTTCATGTGCGCGGTTGAGCCACTCCGACAGTTGCTCGCCCCTCCACCACCCATCTCGGCTTCCCGCGGTTTGGTGCAATGAACGGCGTAGCTGTAGAATCAAATAGGCGCAGCAGGCTTCCTCGCAGAACACATCTTTGTCGAAAGCTTGGTGGAGGATTGCCTCAACGACATCACTCGCATTGAAGTGCTGGCTCTGCGCGCAGCTCCACAGCCTGTGAAAGGATGCCTTTTGCAAGTCCACCGAGCCACGCAGGCTCCGTAGGATCTGCAGCGCCTGCCTCATTGAAGTCGCAGCCGTCTTCTTGCGCTCAAGGACACTTGCAGCAAACTGAACCACGAATGAGACCCAGCGTTCATCCGTGGCCTCAAGACAAGCTGTCAAGCATGTTCAAGCCCAAAATACACACTCAAGTGAACCACCTTCTTTTCAATCAACTCAACCAGTGGAACTTACACGCTCAATAGTATTGACGCATGTCGCTTCAAGAAAGCATTGCGATCCCTAAAGAATGAGCTGGGACGTGCCAATGTTCTGGCATTCTTTGCCAGAGACATGCATAGGAACAAAACAGTTGTTCTGAACTAACCTCGTGCAATATCAGCTGGGCTGGCAGTTGCTAGCATCAACTGAGCTATGACTACATTCATATATGACAGACTTTAGAAACGTTAGTTCCATCCACCATGCACGAGAATAGAAAGCTATATAAATTCTCATGCAATTGAGCTAGGACCAGCTAGGATAAAATAAACAGCTTCGGTTGGTGAATGCACTGATATGCACTGAAACTGCATCCACTATGGTCCTTCTACCTGGGCTCCAGCTCCTTTGTTGCCATCTTGGTGCTTTTGTTGCCGACTTTTTGGTATTTTGTGTTGCCGGGAACTGTAAGAAGTTTATGGTTGCCAGATTAGTGTTTTCTGTTGCTGGGGGGCTTCTGTTGGTGTTTTCTGCTGGAACGCTTGGTGCTTACCAATGCCGAAAAAGACGGAATCGCAAGGGAAAGAGAAGGAGGAAGAGAAAACAAACGGAATAGAAAAGCAAACAAACAAAGAGAAACAAAAGGCGATCTTTTTGAATGGACTAGCAAAACAACGTCACGAACTACAATAGACCACCGACAACACAAGCGACAACCAAGAATCAAGGGGCCAGCAGCCAACAACCAGCAGTCACCTACAACCAGCAACCAAGCACCACAGCAACAGCAGCAGAAACCAAATGAAGCAGATCCACGGGCACATGAGAGCGGCAACGACAGCAACAAGGACTGCAACCACCACCACCACCACCACCACCAAAACGATAGCACATGACCTGCACTAAGTCACTAGTTCTATTCTTCAACAAGCCTCGTCCTTCCTGAAAAACCTGCCAAACTGTCACGTGGAATCAAACAACACGTTGTTTGTCTGTGCCCTTTTGTAAACCAATCGAGCTCGTACTGTAATACATCAAGCAGCTTCGCCAAAGGTAGTTGCAACCATGTTTGCATGGGAACTGCCTCCATGGTCACTTGATATCGTGACGGGATATTTGGAAAGTACTCATATAGTGCTAAGTGTGCCATGTCATTGGAGTTACCAGACAATCAGTGAACAAAAACTGTTCATCTTTCGGAGCAAGGTGCTGCGCTGCAGCCACCACAAACACTATTATATAGTGAGACAGAGCGGACTGCAAACTATGGAAATACAGAACAGAACAACTGTCACCAAATAACCACAACTGCAAGCAGCTAGCACATCACAAACACCACCCTGACAATCGACATCCAACACCACCGCCACAACAACTATCCCAGAATCCTGCCGGTCACGAAATCAACATGGTTCACGCCTTGCAACTATTTGGTCAACTTGCAGACCAACAAACCTGGCGCCATGTGTGTACTTCAAACAAAAAAGTATTCACTATGACTATCAATTAATTAATGTTTGGTCAGCACCCCCACCCCCAATACAGGGAGGGAGAGAGAGAGAGAGAGAGAGAAAAAAACAAAAACAAAAATAAAAATACTTTTAAAAAAATGTAATATAATTACAACTGTCTGTCTGCCCAAAATAAGGCCCGATGTTGCAACTGAGGCAAGTGCATAGTGACAGCTGGTTGCAGCAGCCAAGCGCAACCATGCAAGTTCACTGTTCTCCTCCAACACTGCATTGCAAGCTCTCTCAGGTTCAGCGGTCAGCGCTTTCGCCAGCATCAGCATCGCCACACTCGTGGGGAGCGAACCGAGGTCTGGAATTCGATTCCGCCGGGCGGCGCCGGTGCTGTCGTCCCAGGCCCTTCTCATGATTGCGGTGAGCTCCGCCTGCAGCTCCATATCCACTGTGGTCTCCCCAATTTGTTCGATAAAATGTTGAAGATTGGACACCAAAGCACCCCAATCCATGCACCCATGCTCCCGGCGAGCTAAAGACTCCTCCAGCGCAAGCCTCGCACAAACTGGTCCAAAGAACAACCCATCTGGACTTTGCTGCAAGAATTGCCCTGCTCCAGACCAGACTGCTTCAGCTGACAACCCAACAGGACGAAAAGCCACCCGCAAAGCCACTTCAACTTTGGCAGGTGGAACACCCGACAGCTGAATCGCTCCCCAAGCAGGAAATATGTGACCCGACACTCTTCCGGCAAAGCATGTCAACTCTCTTGATTCAGCTGAGGAGACATCGGAGTGCAGAATGACCTGGATTGTTGCTTGCAGCCATTCTTGTGATAGACATAGACCTTCGCTCATTCTTCCTTCCTCGTGCACTGCCGCTCGGAAGACTTCATGAACATCACCTGCAATCTTTGGGTGCGACATGACTTCATCCGGCCAAGCCGCAATGACGGACAAGAGCTCTTTCTTCAGAACCTTCTGCAGCTGCTGAATGTTCCCTTTCACCCTATGCTCCAGCACAGCCACCCAAACATACAGTGCCCCGCATGGTTTGGGGCCCCGTGAGCGGGACAGCACCTCCGACAAAGCATGATGAATAGGACCTGCGGCTGCAAAGTTCTGAGACCACTTCCTGGAGCGCCTGCGCACTTGGCGCACACTCTGCTCTACCTCCTCCACGTTCTTGGCCGCAAGGTCAAAGTCTTGTACAGTTTCTCCGGACAATGCCACCCTGAGAAAGTCAAGCAAATCCTCTTCAGTAGCTTCTGGGTGGCCGTATGACATAAAAATCTGACAGCCAGCGCCAAGGTCAGCAACATCCGCAAAGGTGCGATTGTTGTCCTCACCCTCACACTCCCACGTCAGGTAGTCACGCCAAAACGTTCTCATTGTTCCTGCCTCCCAACGTTGGAACTTGAACTCCGCCATGTTCAAATCGGATGTTGGGACATCAACGTAAAATACTTGTTTGTGATTCAAGTCCGTCTCGTGGTTTCGATGAGGCACCACAGCTTCAAGAACAAGGCGGTCCTGCCAATTGTTTGTGAACGTCCCTGTCACACAGTACCGGCCTGGACTAGCCAACAAATAAAAACGAAGGGTTGGTTCAGATGAGGCCGTGTGTTGCAGCTGTGGAGGCGCATCTCGACACAAGACCTCCCTCCCACCTCTGAAACGAATTGGCAAAAAGAATTTGCCAACTTGAATCCAGTGTTCCTCAACCTGTGTGCCGTATACAACTGCCCCCCATTGCTCAGGCGGAGCTTCTTTGGGGTTGCAATGAGGCCCGTTGATCTTCGTCCGGTACCTCAACCCTACTGCATAGTTTTGTGGGTTCGCTGTCTGGACAAGCCACTTCTCCAGCAAGACCGGTTCTCCATTCCAGCGGGTCGGAATGTACCCCGATGAAATTTGAACAAAGCATCCAGTCTCGTCCACTTGGCCCGTGACCTAAATTGGAAACGCCACCAGGTCTCAAAGACACACTCTGAACACAGGAACCCGCAGGCGAGGCTGATCTAAGCTACGGACAAATTCACTCGTGTAGTAGCCCGCTAGCTCCGCTGAGATCGAAGCTGTTTGGAAGATGGGCAACTCCGGATAGGATTCCTTCAAGTGGTCTGGGATCGCCACCTCTGGTCGCACGGTTGGTCGACCAAAGGTTGAAGACCGTATTTAGGACCATAGGTAGTGCGGGTAGGAAGACGTGACAGTGGACAAAAGCAAAGGACACCCAAAGATGCCTGATTGGCCAACATCCTGCACACACTGCCAGCCCAGGCACTTTGAAAGAGCGGCTGCCCCATGTGCCCGCTGTGGGCATCCTGCGTGCTCCAAATTTGTTTGGTCATAAACGGATTAAAGTGGAAATAAACAATGTGGGCAACATGCACCTGCACAATGCCCTTCCAATCCTGGAGTGTGAAAGTGTGGTGAACCACCTATTCCATGAAACTTGCCACTTTTCCCGGTCTGCGGCTCCAAAAGTAAAAGCCTGCTCCACCCTGGCAGCTCCTCGCAATGCGCCGCACCAGTCACCAACACCAGTAGTGATTGTTCCCGCGATGTTTGACTTTAAACTCTGCGTGGGTTCATGGAGCGGTTGACAAAGCGGTGCCATAAACAAAGAGCATACACACGTCTGCGAAAAGAAATCGGTCCGACACACTCAAAAAGTAAGATATCATGGAACAATATGGAACATATTTCATACTTCAACATAGCAAAGAAATGGTGTTCTTTGCACCCCCATGGGTGTGAAATGCAACATCACCACACAGCACCCGAAACAAACCCTGCGAAATGAAGGAAATTAGGGCGAACCCGGTGGCAGCAGGAAACCTGGAACCCTCGAGCATGGAAAATCAATCAACATAGCCAGCGCACCGCCTCGATGCCACAAAACGCGGCGCATCGATTTTTCGACCTACGCATCTGATGTTTGCCTGACATGTGCTGCACTGTTTGTGGGCACTTAGTATTGGCATTTTCCCACCCCTTGGTTTCAATCCGGCAACACTTTGCTCCAACCATCATGCCCAATCTGATGCAAATTCTTCAGTTGGCAGCCTCCGATCCACGGCCAACTCTGCCGTTGAAACGGCATCAAGTTGAACTGCAATGCGCTCTTCCATGATCTTCACCGCACGAAAGCAATCAGAAACGAGTTTGGCAAAGCATGTTTCATTCAAAACTGGTTGGCCCTTCAACGGGGAGGCCAAAAATGAGTGGCAGCAACACTGGCGTGGCAACCAAATACTTTTTTGTTTCCGCCAAAAGCTGCGCTGTTCAGAAAGGGGTTCCCCGTCAATCGTGGCACAAGGTTCGGGTTGAGTACGCAAGGGAACAAGGCCATAGATTCAACAGGGTGCGGGTTCACCACTGGTTTTCACATTTCATTTTCCGTTTGAATTCCGTTTGTGCAGAATGCTGGCCAAAAACAACTGAACACAAACTCATTGGCCAAAGCAACCAAAAGCCTGCCGCCAAAACCGATCAGCATTCGCTTAACCTTCCTAATGCCCGGCTCCAAGCGTGCGTGAAAGAAATTCCCTTAAACACCTTTTGTCCTAAGTGGCAAGGTTGGAACACTTATTGTATAGTTTTGAGCCCAATACGCACAGCCCCTGTGGTTCAAGTGAGAAGTAGTGAGTCCGCTTCGCATGGTGGCGGAGCTGGTCGAGCTCTAGGGCCGATCAGCTTCCGCAAGCGGGTAACACCGCAGCGTCGTAGGCGGGTAAAACCCGTGTGTAGTACGTCGAGCAGCGTGAGAAAAGTTGCCGGCAAGGGCGGAGGCAAAACCAGGACAAGGAGTGCCGCCGCAGTTGAAAAGAGAATCCTCAAAAGGATCGCCAAGCGCTGGGAAAAGGAATTGCAGGCACCAAACACAAGAGAGGAAGAGACACCTTCTTTTGGGAACTTGCCTGGCCCAGCCAACCTCAGCCAGTACTACCAAGCCCAAAGCGAGGCAGCTTCGTCTAGTAGTGGCCACAACCAGTACGGCAACTTTTTGGCAGACCAAGTTCGTTTGAAGCGTCCATTACCTTCGTCAACTACTCAACCAGAAGGAGTGTACCGTCGTGTGTGGGAACGTGTCCGACGAGATCTACCAGCAGTAGCCGCGGAAGTTGAGAAAACACCAGGCAAGTCAGTGAGGCGCAGTTACTTGTGTGAAGAAGCGCGTCGTGCAGTGACTGCTACGCTGGGAGTCAACCGTGTGCACGGTGAACACGAGGAGGTGGAAAGAGGAGAAAGCAGCTGTGAGGAGACCTGTGAGGGGCTTGAGCCAAACACCGTGACAAGAAGGAAACAACAACCAGGTACAGTCACAGTTTGTGCCCAGTCAGTCTCAGGAAGTCATCCACCCACAACAAGGTACAGTTCAAGCCGTCCACCAACTTCCCGGTGCACTTCAAGCGTCAGAAGTACAGTGCCACCAACCGTCGGTTGCAACAACTCTGCCGCTCGTACACCGTCTTGGTACCAGCACGACACCTCCAGGAAGTGAGAGACAGGGGTGAAACCTCATCTGCGGGGAATACCGCTTGAGTGCCGACACTTTAGCGTAGTTCCGTAGGTGCCTGTAGTTTTCTTTCTGCCAGTGTGTACAAAGTTTCCTTTTTTCGAGTCACCAGCAGTGTTAATTTGTTTGTTTCCTTGTGTGCACAATGGAGGACGTGGTGCAAAGATTGCAAGCCCAAGTAGAGCAGTTGACCAAACAGCAGGCAGGTTTGAACCAAGCGTTGCAAAGAGCAGAACAAGCGTACGAACAACAGGGAGCAATTCTTACAGCAACTCGCAATGAACTCAGCACAGCTTTAAGCGCAAAAGCGGCCAGTTCACAAGTGGACGAATCACAAGTAGTGGATTCCAGAAACATTCCAAAGCCGCCTGTGTTTGATGGAAAACGTGAAAATTGGGAACGTTGGAAGTACGTGTTTGTAGCATGGGCATCAACAGTGAACGTGGCTTACCCAGGTTTGTTTGATAAAGCCGAAGCCTCAGTAAACCCTGTAGAACATGACGCGTTGTCATCACATGAGGTTCGCTTGAGTAGGGCTTTGTTAACCATCCTTATGGGATACGCCCCGGACTCCGTCATGAGCATGGCCCAGCTTGCTCCTGAAGGAAATGGTCTTGAAATGTGGCGCCGGTTGGTGAAGACACATGAGCCTGCGTACAAGTCCAAGTCATGGGTTTGGAGGAAACATTTGACCAATCCTTCTTTCCCGAGTGAGTTGAGCAAGTGGAGTGAGGCGTTCTACCAATGGGAATCTGAAATTCGTGAGTTTGAACGGCAGTTCAAGAAAATCATTGATGAAGATGAAAAATTGTCCGTGTTGGTTCATGTTGCACCGAAAGAGCTCCAACAGTCCATTTTCATGCATGCTGATTCCTTGGATTCGTACAACAAGGTTCGAACATACATAGAAAAGTACTTGAGTGCCCGGAACCTGTGGAAAAGACCTCAAGGCGGACAGTTTGGCACAGTGACAGGTTTGAAGCCCAAGGACGAAGCAAATGGACCTGCTCCAATGGACATTGGGGCCGTCAAGGGCAAAGGAAAAGGCACAAAAGGGAAAGGTAAAGGTAAGTTTGACAAAGGTGACCCAGGCAAAGGTAAAGGGAACCAACAGCAATGGAGCCAGGCATGGCAAACACAAGCGACACCAACATGGGAACAACGATATGCAAGCAGCAAAGGCGACAAAGGCAAACAAAAAGGCAAGGCTAATGAAGATGGAATTGGCAAAGGTAAAACGCACAAAGGCGACAAAGGCAAAGGTAAAGGAAACAACCCCCATGCGGGCAAGCAGTGCCACATTTGCAAAAAATATGGTCACATAGCTGCCGATTGCCACTGGAAGGTCTCGGAGGTGCGCGAGGAGCCAGAACCTAGCCCCAAGGCCGATGGAGACACTAGGACTGTAGGATCTGTTAGGGATTACTTCGATGATCCGGGTGCCGACATGATCATGACCGTCCGCGACACGATTGCAGCAATCAAACCGTCAGAAAACAATGAATTTGCATGGTTTATGGTTGACTCAGGTGCTTGTGTGACATGCGCCACGGAAGGTGAGTTTGATGCGCCCATCGATGAATCCAAGAAGAAAACACTGTACTCAGTCCAAGGTGTAGCTTTGAAGGTTTATGGTGAACAACTTCCAGGCATCGAACTTGATGATGGTTTGCGGGGAACTATGCGGGTGACAGTAACGGATGCCAGTGAAAACGTATTAGCCGTAGATGAGCTATTGAGTAAAGAATGGCAAAGGGTTGTGTTTGGCAAGGCCGGTAGTTTCCTTGAGTACAAAAATGGTAAACGATACCCTTTGACCAAATTCGGGAAACGTTGGTGGATGCGAGTGAGAAAACGTGACGTGCAAACTTTGAGGAGCCAAGGAGCAGACAACAGAATCGCAGCAAACGCAGACCAAGGCGATGCAGGCATGGACGAATGGCGCACCGAGGCTCCGTTGGTGATCCGCGTGCACAAACACCCTCGAAGAAACTTGTTTACCCCATTGGATACCGGCGATTGTCCTGTTGACCCGTCAAAGTTGGAGAATGGAAGGTTGACACGCATGACGTTTGTTGGTGGTGCTGGTGGGAATGATGTGTTGGAAGATGTTTGGGACAATGAAGGAGGTGCACACAGGAGATTGGCATATCATTGGGTAGGTGAAACCTGCTTCAAACTGAAGGATGACAGGAACACGGGACACATGGATGACGCACAGGATGCGCATGCACATGATGACGTTGAACACGCACACCTCATGGAGCATGATTCGAGCGAATGTGTTCATCCCATGGCCTCTCCACCCACACCGTCTCCTGAAGAGCGCTCCGAGCATGAGTTGCATCACGCCACATATGCAGCATGGTGTCCTCATTGCGTAGCCGGACAGGGTAGACAGCGTCCTCACACCAAAAGCCATGTCGACACACATGAACACATTGTGTATGCTGACTTCATGTACTTCACAAGCAAAGGAGAGGAACTTCTAGTCACAGAGGGTGAACCCCCGAGCGACGTTGATGGAAACGATGTTGTGACAGTGTTGACTGCCATCGACAAAGATTCGCGTTGGCCTTTTGCAATTGCAATCCCATCAAAGAAAGTGGATGACCCCAACAGCTACGCCGTGAAGTCCTTGGAAAATTGGTTGGTGAATTTGGGTTGGAAACAGTTTACTCTTCAGACAGCTCAGAAACCTGTGATATTGAAATTGGCGAAGACTTTGCAAAAGAAAATTGGAAATGACAAAATGCAGTTGCGAGAGAGCCCTCGTTATTCATCCCAGTCCCTAGCTGACGGGGAAACGGTGAATCAACAGGTCGCAGGTAGAGTCAGGACATGGGTGAGCGTGCTTTCTGAGCAGTATGGTGTTGACATTCGCAACACGCACCGTTTGTTTCCATGGATTGTCCGACATGTGGCATGGTCAATGGCACGGTTGCATGTGAACAGTAGTAGGACCACACCATTTCGTATCATCAAGGGCCATGATTATTTTGGTGAACTGCTGCCTTTCGGCGAGCGCGTGCAAGCAAAGTGGCCTAACATGAAAG